GTCTTTTCCATTGTCATTGTTTGGAGGAATCAGAGCTCAAACATTGGTTTTCAGAGAGGAAGTTGATGGATCAAACGAGGGAAACTGGTGCAACAAATTGAAGTTGTTGAGGTTTTCTTGGGAAAGGGTGGAGAGAGGACTTGGAGGAGGAGACAACCGGAGTTACCTCTTTTGGTGAGGTGAAAACTCATTTTCTTCCATTGATATTATGCTGTAAATAGCAAAATCAATACAATATAAAACAATACTTTTCTCACCTAATATTTACCTAATACAAGAAAATCTATCAAACATTTAAAGTAATATTATATTCAAAAGATTTGCTGCCATTTTGTGCAGCTCCATGTGGCTGTCACTTTACCGCCATTGTATTACAGCTTTGACACCACAACTACAACAGAAGGTGTAAATTTATATGAAAGGAAATTGTTTACATTTGTTTGTGTTCTTGTGTTTTCTCGTACTACTCTGTCTCTGTAAATGTAAAAATTATTCTGGGGAGCAAAGATATGCTTGTGCATAATCTGGAAATGGGCGGAATGAAGATGATGGAGTAATGGATTATCCTTATCCTCAACTAAAGTTGTAGAAGATGTGGCAAAATGAGGCAAAGTTAAAAAAAATTTGATGGTAAAAATGACACCAATCTGCTTGCTGAATCAAATTAAATCACATATATTGATTATCCGAATTTGAACTCCTCTGAATTTTAATGTTCTGAAATTGACAGAGTGTTGATGTGCTAAGCCTTACATGATATATATGCTTCAAGACTCAAAAGGATATGACTAATTTAGTAATTCTAGGGATGCAATACTATCAGTATCAGCCAGAATGATAAGCCAAAATACCCTTGGAAGGGATTTCAGACACAAGTTGATGATTTCAAGACTATGTTTAGCTATCCAATCAACTCCTAGTATTCGTAGTGCCAGTGATTTTCTTGATGATGTTCCTATGAGGGTGGTGGCTGGTATTGTTAATGTTAAGTTGTAAAGCCAAAAGGAGAGCAACGCCTAAGGTCCAAAGTTCAGCAAGATCAATGCTACAATTCTCAAGGAACATGCTAGAACCAGCCATCTAGTTACCAGGGATCCAAGAGAAATCGTTGATGATGCTTCTCTTTTTTCTGAAAATGTCCATCTTTGTATTTCTTCTAAGACTTTGTTCATGAAATTGTTGCACTCGTCAAAGTTCAGGCAAGTTAGTATGGAGACTTTGAAGACCACTTGTTTGGCTTTGAGGTAGAGCTGGTTTGGTCTCACATTAACAGGTCCGAGCATATCTTGGCAAGGCATTATAATCATAATAATAATCAGCTTCCGGATTGCCTACCTGCACAATGGATATCATCTTAGTACGTTATGTTCATGTAAGCTTGAGATGTATAAGATAAGTGCGTGCAGCCTAATGGTGTTGATCAATTTTAGCCCCCAATCCAGTAAAGCATAAACATGGGGGATTATTCTTACCATAAAACCTTTGAGATGATTAACATATATTTGTATGTCCTTGTGTTGATCATAGACAAACCCTGCTCCACAAGTTGTAGTACATAGTGGCCTCCAAGATTAAGGAATGATTTACAGAGCATTTACATAACCATATGTGCAAGCATGAAAGAGAACCCCAAAACTTACTGCTTGCAAAACTCTCTCCTTACATAAAGAAATATTAGGTTTTGTTTGTGGATATCTGAAGCAGTTCAATAGGAAATTATGGGCACTGTCGACTAAGTCCAAGAGAAACTTTCTCTCCTGTCAAATAAACCCACAAACTTGGTGACAGCAGAAGGAATATTGGTTTAAAACACAACTCTAACCAGGGATTCCACAAAAAGCAGATTATTGGCTTCTGCAAGGGAAAGTTGAATTCAGCTATATATCAAACAATTCAAATGTCGCGGGTTTCATTTGAACAGATGGTTGAATTGTACAAATGGAAATATCAAAGTAGGTGAAATGATAGCAACCTCTATTTGAATCATATTTATTGAAACAAAGGCTAATTCCTTTCTGCCAACGCTAAGAGGATCTGACTCCACAGCAAAGCCACATTGTACCCTATTGAGGAATCAACAGGTACTTCAACAGCAAAAGGACAATCATCTAATTAGACCATACCCAAAGCACCAGAAAAATAAAAAGGCTAATTTTTATACCAACTTACATATACATTCATATACCCTTCATTAATCTCATCCTAGTACAAAGAAATCCCCAATGGCCAATTCTTCAAGCAAACTTGCTGCCATAAGGTTAGAGAGTCCCTCAGCCAACATGGAGAAAACATGGTACCAATGATCAGATAAACAAATAACAGCCATGACATCCATTAATGATCACATTGGAGAAAAGACAATATTAAACTGTCTAAAATAGAATCTAAAACCACTTAATCTTGGATGGAAAAGTGCAAGCAATTAATTAACAATATATTGGGACCATGACACAGCAATTGATGGATCACTCTACTTTTGGATCACTCTATTTTACTAAAAAGAAGTAAATTGCACAAATTTAGAGTGTTGTAGCTAGTGCCAAAACTTCAGTGAGATTTGAATCAGCAATGCTGAATTAGAGATGCAGCCAAAAAAAAAAAAAAAAAAACACTGAATCAAGGGAAGAGTTAAGACACGTCTTACCATATTAAAAACTTGATAAAACAGGATTGGTACTAGCAAGTTTAAATAAGTTATTAAGTTTAAAAGTTAACTTAGAATGTGAAAATTAAGAGAATAACAAACCATTGCTCAAGCAGATTCTCTTCAATTCTGTTTCGTCATGTAAGTCCAAAAGTAGATTAATTTTGGAGGAGTGAATGTAGCTCTTCCATCCATTGTCGGATTTCCTTCCTCTTTTTACTATGCTATTACTCTTTGCAATCATGAATGTGAAGATCCTGCAGCTTTTCGAAGGGAAACAAATCCTTCATTCTTGAACAACTAATAATTACACAAAATTCTTTAATTAGAAAAAGATGTGATGGAATGTTGGTACGTACAAGCAATGCGTGAGTAGTTGCTGTTCCTTTCACTTTCACATGATCACACATGAATCACTATGATTGGTAATCATAAAGGAATTAGCATCCAATTAAGAGAGATAGACATCATATGGAATTTGTTAAAGTGAAATCTAAAAACACCGAAATCTTGAAAATTTACCAAGGTAGAATAGGAAGGTAGAGGCAGCTGGTACAAAAGAAAGCACAATCTGAAAGCAGGAGGAAAGACAATGAAGGGCTACAGAGGTGTGCTCTGGTAGGGAACTTAAGACGCTCAAGTTAGCCACAGAAGTTTTTAACAAAATCAATAGATCAAATATGAGAGAAATTCATACCTTGGGTCTGTTATGGCCTATGTATAGGTTGAATGGCTGCAAGAGTTGAACAATAAGCCAGCTATACCAACTCATATATATCCAATTCACATAAACTCCATTATGTCAAATGCTAAGCACTAGGGCTCAGCTTCAGAGGAGGAGTATATAAGAGCCCTGCAACATAGTTCAATAGGTTATTTAATACTGAGAAAACATAGAACTGACATTTGGATAAACAAATAAGAACCATAATATGAATTGAGGAGCACTTTGGTGAAAAGACAGTATCAAATCCTTTAAAACCACTTAATATTTGGATGAGAAAAAGTAGAATCAACTAATAACTAGTGTAGAGGTAGCTAGCAGGCTAGAAAGTGCATTAAATCAATCTAAATTCTGCTTACTATTTTGGACTTGAAAATAATTGTTGATCTCCAATTATGGGTGTGTTGGCTGCAGAAAATCTGAAGGTAAGTCACAGAGACTGTCAAGTTAGCCACAAAAGAGTTTAACTAAATTGATAGATCAAATAAACACGGGAGAAATTCATATAATTGTATAAATACATACCTTGGGTCTGCTATGGCCTACATATATATATATATATGTGGGTTCAATTGCCACAAGAGTTGAACAATAATGTGATTAAAGAAATTAAGATGTTGAGGTTGATATAGTTAACAATCTCAAAACATAAAACAAGAAATTTCTCAAATATGTTTTACTGCTTATTACAACACAAAATAAAACAAATAGTACTTAAACAAGCATTAATTAAACAAAGTTCATCCATAGCACAAAACAACAAATTACAACAGAGATTGCATTGGATTGAAGTGAGTGTGAGTCCCAATTTTTTTGTTTTCCTGAGCTGTATATGTTGCTGAGTTGAAGAAATAGGTTTCAGATGATAAAAGATGCAGCCTGCACCAACACGTATGAAGAAATTACTTAATTCTAAGGATGCAAATATTAGTCGGCCAAAAAATTGAAAAAAAAAAGGGAAAAAAGAAAAATGTTCAAGAAAACATAAACGTACATACCTGGGCTGCACATTAGAAAGTGGACACAGATTGACCAGATTGATATTCAATGGATGACTCAGGAAATCCATTCCGGAGCTTGCTCCCTATGAATGAATAATTTAAAAAGGAATTAGCATCCAATTAAGGGAGATAGACATCTCATCAAAAGCATATCAACAAACATATATACCTGAGTTGAGCTGCACATTAGAAACAAGTCAATTGATAATTGAAACTCCTAGAGGCAAAATGAAATGCTAAACAGACCCATATGTAATATCTACCCAAGTGTTGCCACTGTGAATAATCAAAAAAGGAATTAGCGAGACAGATATCTTATTAGCAAATCAATCATGATTAGATAATTGTGCAAATCAATGGAGATTAACACTTGGATTTATTCAGAAACAAGAGATAGAAACATTTAGTTATGAAATACCAGTGAGAGAGAAGGAATGGAATGCAAGTGATAGAAAAAGGCAGACTAATGAGACTTACCCGAGCTCATTACATTTGAGGAAAGGTAGAAGGACAATCTTATCGTCAGGATTCTCCCACTCCAACGATTCCCACCAATTTTTTGGATTGAAAATATGGATAGATTTGACAGCAGGAAAAGATGGTTGTGCGTTTTCCCTTCCAAGACAAAGGGGTATCCTCTTGACCTTCACACAGGTCGATATTTTGAAAATATTGAGAGATTCACAAACCATTACTCCTCTTTTGGGGTAGATTCTCTTCAATTCTGATAGGAAATGCAACTCCAATATCCTTAATTTTGGAAGAGTGATCGATATTGGAGTAGTTGTTTGATTTCCTTCCTCTTTTTCTTCCCATCCTATTATTTCCTCCATTCCCCAACAATGTTTCACCTCAATCAGCTCCAAGTTTTGGAGGCCCTGACCCAGTAGCAGCTCACATGGAAAAAGCTTCTTCAATTTTGAACAATCGCATACCCTCAGCTCTTTAAGATTGGAAAAGATGTGAGGGGATATTGTTGGTGCAAGCGATGCTCTTGTTTTTTCCACTTTAACAACATTCCACAAGTCAGGCAAACCCACAAGAGTTAGTAATTCAAGGTTATTCATAACTGTCGAGGAAGTAGATGAAGATGATGACAAAGAGACCACACACACTATCCCTGGGCAATATTTCAAAACACATGTTTGCAATTGAGTAGGATCTTTTTGAAAAATAGAAATTTCACCGACCACATTGCAGTATTCAATCATCAAATCCTAAAGGTCATCTGGAAGGACAAACTCATTTTCTCCTATCACGCATCTGAATAAAATTACCCGTTTAGGAAGACCATTATTGTTGAACTTCCAAACATACCCCTCCTTATCTTCGTCTATGTGTCTCACTTTATTTTCTTGTAATAATTTCTCGATATCCGGTGAACACAATAAATCCCAACTAATCCAGAATCGAGCCACTTTGAATTCCATTGGATTAGAAGTTGTTCTTTCCATTTTCATAAAGTAATGACTAGGTCTTCCAAAATGGTTCAACTTATTAACAAAACTGCTGAAGTCTTTCAGCCAAGCAAATCCACCTTCAAACAATTCCAGCATCTTCAAACCTGCTACTTCTTCTCCCCTTATTTCAGTTGGAAAAATCTGATGTTTACGTAGGAATTGGAGACAGAAAAGCTTACTGATTTTTCCCCCTGGTAGCACCCTCAGGTTGGGACAAGATAAATCAAGATATTCCAGATTTTCTAACATTTCAATGCCTTCAGGAGCCTCACGAAGGCCTGCTCCATCCAAATCCAACTTCTTCAGTGCTTTAAGCTTTGACAAGGAAGGCATGCGTTCTAAACGCACACATCCACAGAGGATCAGTGCAGTGAGATATTCCAAGTTACATATGGAATCTGGTAGAACCTCAATGCCAGTTCTAGAAAGATCAAGAAACTTCAGCAGGGGCATGTTAGCAAAAAAACACTCTGAAATTTGTCTCAATCTGTTATTACCCTCCAAAATCAAGGTTGAGAGCATCAAGCATTTAGGGGACATATTTTCAGGGATATATGATATTTCATTTGTCATTAGGGAGACCTTGTCTAGATCTTCATTCCATTCATCCTCATCTGGTATCTTTCTCAATCTCATTCTTGCTTTTACCATAAACCTACCAGGACCCGTGCTCTTGATGCGCAATGCCATGTCCCTCACAACATCATGCATCTTAACACACACCTTTTCATTAGCTTCCTCTAACAAACAACAGTTTAAAAGCCTGTTTAAAATAGCATTTCCTTTATCATGCATTTCTCTTCTGCTTCCTAATTTTTCAACAATTCCCTCACAAATCCAGTCTTCAATTAGGTCTTTTCTTTTAATCTCCCAATCTTCCGGATGCAATGAGCAATATAAGAAACACTCTTGGATGCTTGAATTTGGTAGCCGGTCATAACTGAACTTCAAACGTTTAAATATCTCGTCCTCTGAATCTTTCTGTGTGTCCACCACGCATTGACGCAATTCACGTAATGCATTTCTCCACTCAAAAATATCTTGTACTCCCCTCATGCTCCCCGCAATGACAACAATGGCCAATGGCAAACCAACGCATTCAGCCACCATAAGCCTCAAAATCTCTTCCAAATTGGGAATTCGTAGAACATCTTGCCCAACCTTCTCTAAAAACAAGGTCAAAGACTCTTGCCCTGGTAGAGGTGGCACTTTAACTACCTGACATTTCAAGTAGTTGCATACATCAATCGATCTACTAGTAATAACAATTTTACACCCATTTTCCATTGTTGGTTCTGGGATTCCAATTCTGTGAAGAGTAAATTTATCCCAGACATCATCTAAGATCAGTGCATATTTAACTTTTTTCATAGCCTCCATCAGTCTTGATGCCCGGTTCAATTCATCCCAACAATCTGAAAGACTTTCCTTCGTTGCCTTGTTCATTGCCCCAGCAATGTCATCTTGCAATCTGTAAACATTGAGAGGATGTGATACTGTAACCCAGACGACCTTCTCAAACCTGCCAGCCTCATTCAGTAATTCATTATGGATGTGTTTCATAACAGTGGTTTTGCCAACTCCACCAATTCCACAAACTCCAATAATTTCAACCCCGTGACCCATTAAGTATTCCCAAATTTTTTCCTTCACATTAACCTTGCCCACCATATTCTCTGTTGGCAAAGTGATTCCAATAGTTGGAGACCTTTCAATTACAAGACCTTCAGGGAAACTACCTCGATCGTAAATTTCCTTCACATCTTGAATCTTTTGACGAACACGTCTCCCAAGGTTACCACGTGACAAGTATGAAACATTCTGCACCTGTTCTTCAATATCTGGCATTTCAATTTCAATGACCTCCCTTGCATCTTCAAGCCATCCCTGCACTTCTTCTTTAACTTGTTTTTCCAAGTCATCCACACTTCGTAGTTCTGCTACTTTATCATTTCTTCTGCGTTTTAGATCTGCCACTCTTTTTCTGAGATCATCCACATCATTTTGGAAGTTTATGCGGCAATCTGCTTCTCCAAGAGCTAGCTCTATAATGGGCTTCGTGAATGACATTTCTAAAATGAAAAAAAAA